TGTAGGTAGATGATAGCGAGCCAAAATCACATGACTGCCCAAAAATTCTTTTTTCTCACGTTTCTTTTTCGCTCATGTATGGTCTGCTACGCGAATAGATACTTCCAGAGCACTCCATTCAGGGCATGACGTCTGTTCTACTTCCCAAGTGCCTTCCTCATGATTTTTTCAGAAACTTCTAGCTGACTACCATTCTTGTGATGTGCGCTTCTTCTCTTCTCCATCGCAGTCGTCTCTTCCTGCACTTTCTTGGTGATAGAACGCGTGACGAACTTGTACTTTCACTGCTAGCAAATTACAATATAGTTTATTTGGAATTTGAATTACACTAGCATTCGTTTATCATGCAGAACTCCTACAAAGGATCTTCATCTATTCAGGCTGCACTCTGGTTGATAGCTCATACTGAACTTTTCTTTCAGCGGAGATTACCTCCTGAATACCTGAAGAAACTAGTTTTCTTGATACTCTTATGAATATATGGTTCAAGCAGTTTTACTTCCCACTTCCACATATTTTCCCTTCTTCGCGTTAAGCTTAAAGCCGCACGACATTTCTTCAAGCTCTTTTCTACTCTATCAGGACCACATCATCCGCGTGCAGAAGAGCTGTCGTGAAGGGTGTATTTGAGGCCTTTCGTCACCGAAGTCAAGACTGTGATGAGGGAAAGAGCACGAATCTTTGGTGTACACCGGTTTTTGTGCTTAGTGGTCTAGTGACAGATCATCTTTAATGGGATTCATTCTTCTGAAACCATGTGATTTCGCAGCAACATCATGGCTTGTCTATTTTATCAAAAGCTTTCTCCATATCCAGGAAAGTCGCATGTAATCTCTTTTTCCCCCGTATTCATCACTTTCCTTACAGTACTGATGGCGTCAGCAGTACCTGCATCTTCTGCGAATCCGCACTGATTAGTTGAGAACTCTATGACCCTTGAATTCATGTCTCAAATACTCTTTCAGAGGCGCATCAGCCGATCACCAGCGTATCTCTGCGAAATCGCTTGATCTTCTATCTCAGAATCGAGTTTTTTCACCAGTCATTGAGCATGCTCTTAGCTTTTAAACTTATTACAGTTGCTTGTAAACCAGAAGATAGTTATTCTATCCACAACTAGCTAGGATTTCATATGGACCTGCAGCCTCACCATTTCCTGCTTTGTTATTGCAAGTCAAACTTCTTCTGTTGTAATGTGTGGCACTGGTTCTTTTACCGGATCACTGATCGGGTGACTTGAATGACGTCTGCCATCTCTCAATTATCTCCAGTCTTCCTTTGTCTCTAATATGGCAGAAGCGCTCCATATCTTCTGCAGACTCCGCTTCCTAAACGTCCATAGCAGCAGAAAACAAACAACTATGTTATCACGTTTTCACCAAAAAATCGCTTATGTGTACGTTGTGTTCTGCAGTTAACATAATAATAATGAATAACTGCATTTGTTTTTCGGGCGAATTTCTTGATCGTGCACACACATTCACAATTTCACACAACACACCACACACACCATGCATACAAACACAAACTGAGGGCATATTACAAATCAAAACGCTGATCATGAAGTTCAAGCCGCTACTTCAAAACTAATTTACATATTTATGAGCCGTAGCAAAGCAAGAATGATTCTCTAACTCTAAGCACAAAGGAAGGATGCTTTGAAGGGGCGATCCAAGAAGAAATGCACACAGGTAAATGCAGTTTTAGACACTGATTTCAAATCTGCCTTCCATATCTGCGAAGCCTTCCTCTGGGAGAAGTTATGGGCATTTGAAAATTCCAAGCGG